TATTACTCACAGTGATCGGCTCGTGGTTTTACCTTGGAGCTTGACCCTACACATCATATAACACATATGGGTCATAAACGATTCAATCCGTTCTTTAATTCACATATTCCTCTTTAGGCTTCCTTCTTATCTCTTTAACTCAATTACAATGCTTAATGCATGCCTAAGAGTGCTTGCAAGTGAAAGAGAACGGAAAACGTAACACAGAACGGTCACACAAAATTTTCAGAAACAGGGTCCCCGCTCGAGCGTGGACTTACCTGCTCGAGCGAACCCATGAGGTCTGCAAAAGTACTAGTTATGTTATTTTTACGCTCGAGCATGGAACGTGGACGCTAGAGCGGAAGTCCATCTTACATAGCTCACCGCTCGAGCGTGGACTTCCCCGCTCGAGCGGATATCATGGTCTGCAGAAAATACTGGGAGCACGAAATTCATGCTCGAGCGGCGGTTTCCCCGCTCGAGCAGAAATCAAATTTCTGTGTTTTCCAGAATGTGTTCTTGAGCTCAAATCCGACCTCTAAAGGTTCCAAACTCATAATCTCAGCTCAAACTTTACATATTCATGTACTAACATGGTACAAACACTAAATTACAACATAATGGAGCTCAATTTCATAAATCAAACACATGCATGTCCCAATTGACACCAAACTCATTTCCAACATGCAAGTTCATGCAATCAAGGCTCCTATTCTTTTAATTTGTATATGGATGTGATGTATTACTCTTATTCTCAACTTGGATAATGCAAATGGTGTTCATCCTCATGAAACTCAACAAAACATGTTTGCATGTATGATCTAACACTCATATTTCCACATTTAACTTAATACATGCTTGATTATGCGAAATCATGGTTATCCTATACATGCATGTGCATTCCAACTTCAAATTCATCAATTAGAGCACAACTCTTGTTCTTGATCACCAATTAATCTTTAGTTCACAAAATCACAAGTTCAAACTCATGAATTCATAATCAATCACTTACCTAGAGGCTCAATCTTCCCAATTTATGATTAATTCTTGAGCTAGGCTTCAAATTTACCAAGTTCCTTAGCAAATCTCTACTTTGAGCCCCCTTCTCTCACTAAATCCGGCCCCTCCCTCTCTCTAGAGCATAATTTCAGAAGTTGAACTCAAAAAGGAACAAAAATGAGGGTGTAATGGCCTTAATAAGAGCTCCCTTGCTCACATTATTTTAATATAAAATAATTGAGCACTAATTCACCAATTTAATCAATTTAATCTGATCCGAATCAATTTCCAATTAAATTTCACCGTAGGCTCTAAAAATTACGCTAATCACAATGGCGCAATCAATTTTGGTTCCTGTGGCCGATAAGGCCTTCAATTTAAATTCCGAAACAGATAATCAAATACATATTCCTATGGTGAACAGATAGAAATTCAAAACCACATATATTCATATAAATGACACTCAAAATCATAACAAACACATAATCATATGCATAAGGCGGATAAATTAGCATAACATGGAACAGGGGTGTCACAATGTGCTTGCATATAAGACCTATTTGGGAACTGCTATATTGATTGTGATGCATACCTCCTGATATGAACAACCGCATTCATATGCAACTGCACATGAACTCATGTGGACAATGCCATATTGTACACGACTTGAAATATTTTGATATGAACAGTTGTGATGAATGACTCCGATGTGACTTTGAGAACTGATGAGCTTAGGGCAATTGTGAAACTCTTGACTATGTACCTCAGCAAATGAAGTATGCCTTACAGAACCAAATGCACCCTATTTGAGAAAACTTTTATCTGATTCCATCCGATAGAACTTTTGTTTGATTTGGCCTGATAGAACCCCCATTTGATATAATTTGATGGGACCTTTGTTTGATTTAATTTGACAAGACCTTTGCCTGGATTGATTTGATAAGACCTTCTATCTGATTTGATTTTGTTAAGGGGGATTACGAATTGCTGCTTATGAATAAATAACCAGATTATTCTTGGCAAGAAAACTGATAGACCTGAAACTTGAACCTGTTTGGAATACTTGACTTGTTTAGAAGATCTTATGTGGGCTATCAGCAGACCGATCTAACCATGAACACCATTGAGAACCGACCTTTAATTGTTGAAAACATACATGTTATAAATCAACAGAATTGTGCAAATCCAGTGATTGGATGTTTAAGGATTGACTGCTTCTGTGTTACTGAATTCTTATTTATTTGACGCTATGGAAACTGATTACGGCAGATTGATTTGATTGTAAACAATACTGAACATTTACCTTTAACTGATCAGAATATGTTTTGTGAGAGAAAATAGTTGCTTCAGTGTTGTCGGATTTTGGGAAATCATGTTACAGTAATTGTTAATCGCGAACAGTCTTGATTGTGAACACTATTGGGATTAGAAAACCTTGATTATCCGAAAGTGTGTGAATTTAGTACGCCTTGTAAATGAATGCTTAGTGCCATTATACTCTGTAATTGGGGCTTTGAGGATGTGTAAATTGTGCTTCACGTATGATTGACCCCTCCGATATTACCTTTGATGTCATGGGATTAATATACAAATTGCTTTATGTTCGTTGACGACTACCAGATAACATTGAAAGACTTGATGGAACATGGAATCAAACATTGAACTGAATTGTCAGCTGTAAACTGTTGAATGATTGAGAATATATGAACTATGTTAGAAATTGACTGCTTCGATATTATTGCACTTTGCAATCGACACCATGGGGATGTATGAGTTATGTACGTCATGTGGTTGGTTGCTTTGTTGTTACTTTTGTTGACTCGGGAATTAGTGTCTGGATCCACTTTATATTCCTGAAGACTTTTCGTTGACCTTGGATAACTGTGATGAGTCACTAAACTAAATAAAGAATTGGATTTTGAATTGTGAAATTATTGGAGAATGAATTGAACTTCTATGACGAGGAAATTGTTGAAATTGTGTCTAAATATTTTCGGTGTCAACAAGTCGAAGTTGAACATCAGATATAAACGAGACTACCTCGACCTCTCTCTATTTCGGAATAGAGATAGAAATATGTGACTACGAACTTTATTGTGGGGCTGCCTTGGACACCCAAGGTATAAGTCCCATTTGGGTTATTGTATATAGAATTGCTAAGTCTGCTCGTTTCCCCCCTGTAAAATTTTCGTATGATGCTTATATGCTAGCCACTGTTTACATGGATAAGATTGCTTGTTTGCATGGGGTCCCAGTATCTGTTGTGTTAGACAAGAATCCTAAAATGTCTTTGAATTCTGACAAGCTTTCAAAAGGCAATGGGAACTGAATTGTGATTCAGCGCTGCTTTCCATCCGCAAATTGATGCATAATCAAAAAGAACTTTTTTAGATTTTGGGAGAAATGCTCCAAATATATGCATTAGATTTTTCATGGAAGTTGGAAAAATCTACCCATCGTTGGCAGACTCTGCTTCGAACAACAGCTTACACTTTAGTTTCGGTGTGGCACCGCGCAAAGCCTTGCATGGCAAAAAAAGGTAAGTCTCTGATTGATTGAGGACAGAGTGTCGCTTGATTTAGAGACTGAACAAATGACTATCAAAAGGATTGGAACCGTTGAATAAAAGTATTCCGAATTGTTTTCGACTAAAGGTAAAATAAGTTTGGAGGACCAAACTTCCTAAAGGAGGGAAGACTGTGATAATCCTGTCATGTGCTATGTTAATTAATCATGCTTACATTTGTAATTATGTGCTTAATTTGAATTTGGGTGTTAACTGCATGATTATATGTGATTTTGGCTTTGTATTTGTTCATCGTAAGAAAATCTGTTGGAATCTGTGCTTTGAACTGAAAACTGAAGGCCTTATCGGCCACCGAAACCAAAATTGACTACGCCATTGTGATTGGCATAATTTTTAGAGCCTATGGTGAAATTTAATTGAAAATTGATTCGGATCAAAACAATTAGATTCATAATGGTTAATTAGAGTGTCATTACTTAAACTTAATCAATGTGATTAAGCAAGCCAACAAATACGCCCTTATACACTTAAGTCCCTCAATTTTGTGAACTCAAAATCTGAATTTGCTCTCTAGAGAGAGAGTGTGTCGATTCTAGAGAGAGAAAGAGGGAGAATTGCGCATTCTGACTCAAAGATTATGGATTAGGAAGCTATATTCAAGAATTAACAAGAGTTTGTGAAGATTGAAGCTCCTAGGTGACTATTTGAGCATAAATTCATAAGTTAAGTTTGTAATTTTGTGAAGTCAAAGAGAATATGTAACAAAGAATAAGAATTGAGTTGAAATTGATGAATTTGGAGCTTGTATGTGCATGCATGTGCATATTTGCCATGAATTTATACATTCAAACATGAATAATGTTGAACAAGAAGAATTGAGCATTGAAACATACATGCAACCATGGTTCTATTGAGTTTCATGAGAATGGGCATCATTTGTGCCGTTTGAAATGGTATTGAGATCTATAATACACATGCATTAATGATCCATGAAGTTATGGAGTTTGGTTGGGGCAGCTTATGTTAGAAATTTGCGACAAGCTCTGATACCACTTTGTTGGAAATAGAATTTAAATCACTCAATACAATTTAGGGGGAGAGGTGGAGAGGCAGATAATACTTTGTGATTTTCATTCCACCTACCATGCTACACTACACACTTCATCCACTTTTACTACATTACTAGAGTACACAGATATTGTAGGCTCTAACAACATGAACCTAGCAGTGTACATGTAATCTGTGAAGCATGGATATGAATACAAATACAATAGATACGGATATGAATATGGCAATACAACAAAACCTTAAAAAGTAGGATACATACAGGTATGATTACGATACGTTTGTAAAAAAAAAACAATGTATATTAATTCTTAATATATTGTATTATACAAAAGTTCAAAGAGAGGTGAGCAACAATTCTTTCAGAATCATGTATAAATTAAGAGCTAGTAACCAATTTACTTTATTTCAATAAGTCCTGTAAAAAAATTATTTCAATATCAAGTCTAAACTGGTTGTATTGCCTTTGTGGTTTTTCATTTTCACACTTAAAGTTATTGTATGAAAGTTTACCTACCTATTTGAAATATGATTTCAGTATCAATTTTATTTTATTTTTTATTTATCCTTATTTTTTTATGAAGCATGCATATGGATATGTGACACATGTATGACATATTATGGATACGTTTAGTCTCACTATCTACTTCTTCTCCAGAAAGTAAGGAAAGTATTGAAAATTTGTTCTTATATTTATCTTAACAATTATACTCTAGCGTTATGCGAAAATTATTACAATCTCAATTTCATAATAATTCAGATACGTGACCTAGAGTATCCGTAAGTATCTGATTCTTTTCAAACTTAAAGAAAATTAATTTCAAGTTTCAAAAACGTAAAAAAAGCATCCGATAGGTGTGTGCAAATATCCATGGAGTATCGGTATCCGATACAAGTACAATACGGATACGACTCACTTTGTGAATTATTTGTGCTTCATAGCATGTAATGCATGATTCCTCGTCTACAAACACGAACACTTCACATAAGACTCTTTAGTTACATGCATGAACCACTCCATGGATGCATTTGTGTGTATAGAAATTTTTAGACTTGACACTTTATTATCTAAAATCAATTTTAATTTCCAACAGCCTATACATGGTCTGAAACAAATAATTTTTAATGAATTACTATGCCTAAATTTGATTATGTAGTTGAATCACTAAAATTTAAAGCTTAAAACTCCAACACATTCCAGTCCCTCAGTAACTAGTGCACATTCAGGAGATGATAAACATGTAGATTTTCAGGAAAATGGGAAGACAAAGTAAATCTCTATTAGTACCTGCAGTTTAACCACACCATTGAAAAAATTTCTAAGAGTGCGCCCACCAGATACATCAACCCTGCAATACCAGAAAGGTAAACCATAAAAACATTTAAGTATTGGCAACTAAGCTTAGGAGGATACAATCAAGTTTTTAGTAATTACGCATCCAGGAATAATCCAGCATCACTCAGGCACTTCACTCTAGTACTTCTGGGGAAGAAATTTCGGAACTCGTCACAATGCAATATAGATGCCAGACCCCCAGCAGAGCACCCTGACAGAAGAGCCTGAAACATAATGGTTCATATAATCATACAAGAAGAAACAAAATAAGGAAAAAATAAATAATGTGGTCAAACTAAAACCTGATTTGCATTGCGCATCCCTTTTGACATTAGATCTTCAACAGCAGCTAACCATATGCGTTGTCCTCTAAATTGTAGTTGTGCAACCTAGAAAGAAAATCAATATTCTTTAAAAGAAGTGTGATTAAAACATTGATCTTAACAAAGGTTTGACTCAATACAACCAGATGCATGTAGGACTATATATGAACAGAGTTGAGCCAAGAATTGGGTCACTCAAGCTTAGTTCAAAAAGTTTAGTTCAAAAAGTCAAACAACCTCGAAACAATTCTCAAGCTTAACTCATATATCTTATGAGCGACCACAAGCAAGCTTCTATATGAGCCAATCTTGGTCTAGGATTGAATAGCTAGGCTTTGTGTATAGTTTGAGGTAGCTGTTAGTTTATCAAACCGAGTTCAAGTTAAGCTCAATACAAGAATTCATCTGGGTATGTAAAAATGATCCAAATTTAAGTGGAATAGCTATTCATAAAACTTTAAATAAACACAATAACTCATCTCCTCTCCAGTCTCTAACCTATATTAGTTTATAACATTACCAGAATAACATATCTCACACATATCATATGAACACCCACCATGAAAATCATGGAAACAGTAAGGCTCCCTTTGGATGGGTGGATTTCAAATGAAGGGATTTGAGGTTCAATTTTATAAAATTATAAGAAGATTAGTTGTTGAAGCCAGATGATAACTCTAGTGGAGGATTGAATAGAGGTATGTTTCATGTATTGTGTTGGGATCCTTGTACAAGTATATCTTTTATGGAATCAAATAACTTTTTTTGCAAAGTTATTTGAAATCCTTCCATTATAAAGGCTATATCCCAAAGACTTAAAAAGGCTTAAAAAGGCTATATTCCTCAAATTATTGATGTCAATCCGTTCATGTCAAATCCATAAATCCAAAGGGAGCCCGTCTTTGTTGATTCTATCAAATATTAGCATCAAAATACCCCTTAGCAACAAAATGCTATAAATTTTCCATTATTGCCGAAGGCAGACATAGATTGAGCATTACTTGATCTTGTAATTAGTCATCCACACAAGCTTCCTAGTTATGATACACCACACAAATTATATGCTGCAAATTAGGTGGGAGACAACATTAATTGGAACCACTGGGAACAACTCAACGACGTGTAACACTAAGGCAATTTGTCAGGAGGATGAAAACAAAGTTTTATTTTGTATGGCCAGCCCGCTTCGTGTTAGAAGTATCCTCTTTTCAAGAAATTAACTAGAAAATGTAGTCCAAAGAAGTAATAAATGTCAATGTAGACTCCTTAAACCTGTAAAGTAAGCCCCTGTTCATTTCGACTAGGCACATTTCACATGGACAGTTTTGCACAATTATAGAACTAGGTTAATAGATCAGCAGGTGCTCTATACATGGGTATCTATTAGACTCAGAAATATTACTTTCTCAGCTTTGCCAATCACCTTAATTACAGTACATCTAAAAGAAATTAGCAAAATCCAATGAGTAATGTTTGGTAGAAAATTATTTCCTATAAAGACCATTCCTTTATGCACCATTTGGCAGCCAAAAGACACAGATGGTAATGAAGTGCCCTCAATCCCTTATATGGTTACACAATTATTTGGGTCAGGATTGGGTTGTAAGGTCTCAATTCATTCAACTTTTTTGCTGCAAAATAGGCGATATGCAGAAAAATAGAAAAATGCCACATAGTCCCACTAACCTTATCTTCTCTATCCCCTGCAAAGGAGGCCCCATCACAATATCGAAGCTTGATTCTATTCCAGTTGAAGAAATCTGCAGATGAAACCAGCTAAGCAAAATGCAATAGCAAACAAGGATAAACACACACACATGCATAAGTAGCATTGATAATATCACAATATGTAGTTTGAGATTTTCTTCAGACCTGGATTTTCTTCAGCCTTGTTGCTAAGTATTCCTGTAAATGGAATCTGCTTTTCCATGTAAGTATATGATCCACGCCGAGTCTTTTTACGGTAAACACAAGATCTTATGCTATTACACCATCCTCCACCCTGTCAACAAGATGCCTCACGAAGTCAGGTTCTCAATCAAAACCAAGAATTATAATTGGAAAAACTGCAGCAGGAAGTCTACTACCAAGAAATTGTCATCTCATCAAATTTGAATAATAATAAGTTGGCAAAAGTAAATGACAATTTCCTTAATTTTGATAAAAGTATAACTTGTCCAAAAAAAAAGTATTATACTTCTTGTAATGCAAACAGGATAATGGTAACAATTTTCTTGAACACTTTCTTACATAACCCAATCAAACAAACAATAATAATTCGCTGGAGCTAAAGTCAATGCAATTTTATAGAGAAGTCCAATTAATAATCATAACATAGCACTCAAAATTCTCATATCACTTCATTTTTATTTTAACTCCAAACAATTGGAATCAATATTCTTATGTTTTTTAAGCACTAGAATAGCGAAAACCCAAGTAGAGATTAATCATGCTTAGAAGTTTTTATTTATTTTTGTAATCATGAACAGGGAAAAAGTAATAAAAGGGGAGGGGAGATAAGATGAGTGTTGCTGAGATGAGGATGCTAAGGTGGATGTGTGGCAAAACTATAAAAGATAGAGTTTGGAATAAGTATATTCGAGAATGGGTAAGAGTAGTACCAATAGAAAATAAGTTGAGAGAGAATAGATTGAGATGATTTGGTCATATACAACGGAGACTAACAGAGGCAGTAGTAAAGAGATGCGATACAGTGACGGTAGATGGAAGTGTTAGGAGA